TTTCGTTCTACACAATAAGATGGATGGAGAGATTCTTGTTCGAGAATCGAGCTCCTCTGGCTATCTCACTCTTAGCGATGGTGCTCTGCAGCCTCTGCACTTCATGCAAAAGTCCAAGGTCAAGCAATTGTGTCTCTGTTATCCTGGCGTCAACAACCAATGGACATCTCCATTCAATATTGCGGACATTGGTACAACTTATGTCAAGATCGCCAAGGCAGGACAGCGACAGAACCTTGTCAAGGTCGAGGTTCTGATGGAGAACTCTACAGTCTTCTTGAACCTCAGCATGGAGAAGAAGAACTGGCCATACTCGATGCGCAACGAGAGTGATGTCGAGTTCATGTTCTGGCAAGCCAATCCCAGTGTTGACGAAGATGGCGATGAGGACCGCAGTGGATGGCGCTTGATAAGATATCGCCTCCCTCCTCGCAGCATCATGCCATATGCATGGGATTTCCCTGCTGCCAAGTTCCGCGAGATTATCATATCTGCGAATGGTAAGGAGCGCCATGTCAAGCTGGCTGAGATTGGTAACCAGATCCCGATGAAGTTCCATACTTCATCTGGGGCTCCCAAGATTGTCGACATCAACGTTGCTGCCGATGGACCGAAGCAGACCCTGATTCTCAGCAACTTCCGAGCCAGCAAGAGTATGTACAAGCCCAAGGCATTGGCTAGGACCAATACCGGCCCTGAGGCTTTCGAGGTCAAGGATCAAGATACAGGTGCTACATTCCGCGCGCAACTCAAGCTGGCCGGTATTGGTGTTTCCCTGGTGAACGCTCAAATGAAGGAACTTGCCTACTTGACTTTCCGCGATGTCCAACTGCGATACAGCGACTCGCCTTTGATCCAGACCATCTCGATGGCTATCAAGTGGATCCAGATTGACAATCAATTGTATGGTGGCATCTTCCCAATGGTCCTTTACCCCAGCGTTGTGCCTAAGAAGGCGCAGGAGGTTGAGGCTCATCCATCGCTGCACGCCATGGTCAGTCGTGTCAAGGACGATTCGTATGGTGTGCTGTATGTCAAATACGCGACCATTCTGCTGCAGGAAATGACCATTGATCTGGACGAGGACTTTGTGTTTGCTTTGCTTGACTTCTCAAACGTGCCTGGTGCTAGCTGGACAGAGGTTGACGCTTCTGGCAAGCTGTGCGACGAGGATCTTGACATTCCTGAGCCATCAGGCCAGCCAGCTGGTCAAGATATCTACTTTGAGGTTCTCAACATCCAGCCCATGCAGCTCAACTTGAGTTTCATGCGCACAGAACGTGTCAATGCTGAGGACAAGACTTCATCGCGCAACCCCATCATGTTCTTCTTGAACGTCATGACCATGGCTGTCGGAAACGTCAACGACGCACCACTTCGGTTCAATGCGCTTATTCTGGACAACGTGAGAGTGACTACAGCGGTACTTATCCAGAACTTCTCCAGCCACTACAGCCAGGAGGTGATGTATCAGATCCACAAGATTCTGGGATCTGCCGATTTCCTCGGAAACCCTGTGGGTCTGTTCAACAGTATCTCGTCGGGTGTGACAGACGTGTTCTACGAACCGTACCAGGGCTTGATCTTGTCGGATAAGCCAGAAGAGTTTGGTCTGGGCATCGCCAAGGGTGCCGCTTCATTTGCCAAGAAGACGGTGTTTGGCTTCAGTGACAGTTTCTCCAAGTTTACAGGCAGTCTCAGTAAGGGACTTGCCGCGGCGTCACTGGACAAACAATTCCAGGATCGCCGTCGTATCACAAGAGCTCGCAACAGGCCAAAGCATGCCTTGTACGGTGTGACTGCTGGCGCGAACAGCTTCATCACAAGTGTTGCGTCAGGCGTTGGTGGCCTTGCACGCAAGCCCCTAGAGGGCGCCGAACAGGAGGGTGCTCTAGGCTTCTTCAAGGGTGTCGGTAAGGGCATGATTGGACTGGCTACCAAGCCGGCGGTTGGTGTACTTGACATGGCAAGCAATGTCAGTGAGGGTATTCGCAACACAACAACAGTGTTTGACGGTCAAGAATTGGATCGCACACGATATCCACGATACATTCCACAAGATGGCATCGTGCGCCCTTACAACCCGCGGGAAGCTCTCGGCCAATACTGGCTGAAGCAAGTTGACAACGGGCGATACTTTGACGAGCAGTACATTGGACATCTCGAGCTACCCAAGGAAGATATGGTCGTCATGGTCACATATGCTCGGATCTTGCTGATCCGATCGCGACGTCTGACGAGCGAGTGGGACGTCCCTCTGAAGGATGTCCAGACCATCGCAAAGGAGCGGACGGGTGTGAGCCTGGCTTTGAGGGGAGGAGCTAATGGGCCGTTTATTCCTATTGGCGAGGGCAGTGAGAGGGGATTCTTGTACAAGATGATTGGGGTTGCGGTTGAAGAGTTTAATAGGAGGTTTAGAAGTGGAGAGTAAAAGGAGGATACATTGTATGAGGGCTGTTGTTGTAATAGGCAGTAGTGCGATGGAGTTTGGAGTATTGACAGATTGTATTTAATAAGAACACGAGGTACATGAATGAAGCATCGCGATGTTTACAATTGTGACGGATCGGAATGCCTAAACAGGTCCAATCCATGACACATCAACGAAGCGGCCAGCATGTGAGAGGCCGCCGAGATGCGCGGTCAAACTGGCGCTGTCCAAGCATATTGGTCACTACGTCCGATTCCATCACGCCTGCGAATTGACACTCGTTGATCCAGGAAAGCATATCTTAGCACTTCGAAGTTCATCGTCTGAAAGGGAGATTGAGCGGATAAAGAGCCGAGACGAGATGCGATGGTCGTCTTTGACATACACGGCCAGTCCCGACGCGACATATCAAGCTTATTTACACGAACTGTAGCGACCGAGATAACCGCGAATGAGGCCGGGCCGTCGCTCTCTCTCGGCTGCGCTTAGTAATGGCACATCGGCCAGACAGATTGTTTTGGGCCGATGAACCGGCGAGAGAGACGGTATCGGGAGAGGACAAGGTGATGCTATCGTTAACGGTTGGTTTAGTTTGTTGTAATGAATCGGAGTAGTCAAGGCTGGCGCGACACTCGGGAGCGAGAGTGGGATAGCCTGTTATCAGTGTCGCCAAAGTCAAAAAGAGGTCATCGTGATCTCACATGCGAAGTGCAACTCGGCAAAGTTGGGATGGAAGAGCAGAGGAGAGGAAGGGAGATAGGGAGATGCCATATAAGGCAAGGACAAAATAGACATGTGATGTATGGAGAGAAGCGATTAGCAGATTAACGAAAGATGAAGTAGATCCAGATTAACAGTGCATGCACTCTCGAAATTGAGGGGAAGTGTCACTGTCAGTGTCAAACCCAAGACAACGGTCGTCTTTGATAGAGGGTGACGGGCGGGCCAGACCGAGATATCAACGGAGATGGCCGACAATCACTGCGACATGCAAAACGACTATATCTTTCACGGAAGGAGACGAAGGAGTTGATCCATGTCTATCTCGCTGACATGTGTGCGTGTGTGTGCTACAGTATTATTTGCAGATACATACCATACCCCAGGCCCTCGGAAGATGGTGTGAAGGGGAGGGGAAGGGGGCCCGGCGTTAGCTGAAGCTGGGGAAAGGGAGAGGTAGGCTATCAGAATCCCTGTCTATGCATGTCGATAAGCTCAAGTAACAAGCTGGGGGTTAGTGACAAGAGGAGATGAGTGGTTGTTGTTGTTACATAACGAGGCGGGCGGCTCTTTTGGAGCTGTAAGCCAAGAAGAGAATGACCTACCTAAAGAGTGATAGTGCCATTTCGGAGTGTAAAGGTAAAACTGAATTTGGATTTGGATTTAGAGAACGGGTGTGGCTTTGGGTGGAGAGAGATCGGAGATTCAGACAAGAAACAGGCTTGGTCTTGAGGTCTAGACATTTAGACAGATATCAGCTCTTACATACCAACACTCTTATCTTGGGTAAGCATAGATAGGGTCAAGTCTGTATCAGATACAGCCCGGGGAACAATATCCAAATGGTCGACCGAGAAGGCCAAGCTACACAAGTTCCCTGTAATGAATCGAGCAATTGGGTCTGATTGGGCAATGAGAGAGCGGGTGGTGGGCAAAGGGACCTCCGAGCTATGCCAATAACGAGCGTCTTGTCCGTTTGTGGGGACTACGTCAGTGGAGAAGACGAACCTGAGCTTTTGCAAACGTTCCAGCAACCTTCTAGATTAGGGATAGTACACGCCGAGGTTTAGGCCGGGGGGTGGCGACTGTAGATACTCTCAGAGGATGAAGATACATACATACAAAGAGATAGAGGGCTTCAGTTACAGAAGGATACTGAGATATAGAGGATGAAAGAGTCAATGAGAAGAGGTACATCTGTGTTACAGTTACAGTTGCAGTACAATAATGTAGTGCATCTCTATTCTTCCGATCGTGCAACACCAATACTGAGTAGATGTAAAGGCATCTCCGAAATATATGGACCCCAACTGATAAGCTCACAGTCCAGAATCCAGATCCCTCGACATCCTTGTTCTCGTTCTTGTCCTCGTGCTCACCTCCTCAAAAAAGATCGTCGTCTGAACAAACATTGGCCAAGCTACCTAGTCTGGGGTTTAATTGAACCAACAGACCAATCTACATGCCTCTGTAGATAATGAACCATGCACGCCCCCTTCTAAACTCTAGTGTAACACTCCCTGGAGGCAAAAAAAAAAATAAAGATGGGTTCAAAAAGTCAAGGCATCCCCAGATAAAAAAAAAATTGTTGGTCGACCCACGAAGATCGTGTCTTCAGTTCCATCGTCTGACTCCATTCTCAAGCCGGTCTCCAGTTTTGAGGGCTAGACTTACGTTTTCTTGCTGAACAAAAGCCCTTGTCTCCTCAGGGTCCTTTGGTTCTCTTGCTTCTTTTCTCTTGTGCTTCACTGCTCAAGCTGTTGAAGCTCCGAGGTCTCACCTCTAATTCATACCCTTTTTTATACCCCAATTATAGCGCCTGAGTTGAGATTCAGTGAGAGAAGTCACAATGGCCGACTCAAACATCCACCATAATCCAGACCCAGCTCTCGAGCCCTCCCACCAACATCACCACCAACATCATCACCACTCTCCCCGCGTCGACACCCCCGGCCACGATGATCCCGTCTACACAACCGGCACCACAGACGCGCCCGGCGTAGTCCCTCCCCAGCGCCACTCCCACGAGAAAGAAAAAACTGGCGTGCATACTCCTCCTGACTACAGCGACCACGAGAAGCACGAAGCTGGCGTCGTCGACGAATCCGCCCGCGCAAACTCCCACTCTCACTCTGACAGCCCCGCTGTCGTCGGCTGGCGCAGGCGTCTCGGCCCTGTATATCGCTACCGCCGCCCTATAATCCACCTCATTATCTTCTGCCTCTTCACCGGCTGGTGGATCGCTTCTCTCGTCCTGCACCGCGACGACAAGAACTGGGTCGTTCCCTTTCTCTTGTGGCTCGCCATCACCCTGCGTCTCATCTTCTTCCACGTCCCCAGCCGTCATGTCTCCAACGTCATCAAGAAGGTCTGGCTCAACACCGCTGTCAGGGTGTACGACCTCATCCCCGCTCATCTGCGCACCCTCGCTGGCGCTACCGTCACTGTAGCTGCTATCCTCATCGGCGCTTTTGTCTCGGAGGAGGTCGCTGACAACACCCGTGAGAACCGCGCCGTTAGCCTTTTCGGCATGGCGGTGTTTCTGTTCATCCTCTGGGCTACGAGCAAGGATCGCAAGCGCATCAACTGGCGCACTGTCATTGGCGGCATGCTCACGCAGTATGTCATCGGTCTGTTTGTTCTGCGAACGACGGTTGGATACGACATTTTCCGCTTCATCGCCGACCGCGCCGCTGATCTTCTGGGCTTTGCTAAAGCTGGTGTTGCGTTCCTGACGAGCGAGGATGTCGCCAACACGGGCAACTTCTTCTTCGGCGTCATCCCCGCCATCATCTTCTTCATCTCTCTTGTGCAGGTCCTCTACTACATCGGTTTCGTCCAGTGGTTCATCGTCAAGTTCGCTACCTTTGTCTTCTGGGGTCTCGGAGTCTCGGGCGCTGAGGCCGTCGTCGCTGCTGCTACACCCTTCATCGGCCAGGGAGAGTCAGCTATGCTTGTCCGCCCCTTCGTTCCTCACATGACCAAGGCCGAGCTTCACCAGATCATGACCTGTGGTTTCGCTACAATCTCCGGATCCGTGCTTGTCGGCTACATTGGTCTCGGTCTTAACCGTGAAGCTCTCGTGTCATCCTGCATCATGTCCATCCCCGCTTCTCTGGCCATTTCCAAGATGCGATATCCCGAGACTGAGGAGACTCTCACAGCTGGTCGTGTAGTCATCCCTGATGATGATGAGCACAAGGCTGAGAACGCCCTCCACGCCTTCGCCAACGGTGCTTGGCTCGGAATCAAGATCGCCGGTACCATCGTCTGCTCTCTTCTCTGCATTATTGCTCTGGTCGCTTTCATCAACGGTCTCTTGACCTGGTGGGGACGATACCTCAACATCAACGATCCCACTCCTCTCACTCTCCAGCTCATTCTCGGATATCTTCTCTTCCCCGTGTCTTTCCTCCTCGGTGTATCCCGCACCAACGGAACCAACAGCACTGGTGACATTCTCCCCGTCGCCAAGCTCATTGCCGAGAAGATCATCACCGTACGTTTCCCCTCCCCCTCCCATTCTCCCATCAGATACTAACACATTCTAGAACGAGTACAAGGCCTTCTCCCTCCTCACAAACCCCTCCCCCGACAACAACGAATTCTACGGCCTCTCCCCCCGCTCTCAGCTCATCGCCACCTACGCCCTCTGCGGCTTCGGCAACATTGGCTCTCTCGGTATCCAGATCGGTATCCTCAGCCAGCTCGCCCCCTCTCGCGGTGGTGACGTTGCCAAGCTTGCTGTCTCGGCTCTCGTCTCTGGTGTTCTCGCCACTCTCACCTCTGCCAGTGTCGCTGGTCTCGTCGTCACCAACCAGCTCTCAAGTTTCGGCCAGAACGCTTCCTCATAGTTGGATTTTATGATGATGAAAATGTAAGAGAATGAGGAAAGATGTGTGTGTAAGAGAAAAATGTTTGAAGGGTCGATGATTATGTCGATATGCTATACTATACTATACTATTTACAAATGCTATATTGAAGACCACGAGATGGTACTAATTCACATCACTCTCTGCCGTGATCTCACTCCGAATCTGCTACACTCGTTTTCACTACACCATACCCAGTCTCACATTTCAACTGTCCTACTCACTTACATCGTCACTCATAACTGAAAACTTTGACGACATCACTGGACCACAGTCGTCCGCGGCACAGGCCATTTCATCGCACCACAAAACACCAAGCGGGGTCATCAACAGAATTTTCGCAGATCTATCATGGTATGAGAATAATCAGATACGGTTACCGAAGTCAGTGCATTGGCCCATCATCGTCTGATCGACAGATAAGCGGACCGAACTACCGGAGACGTCGACTCCCAGTGGGTTGGTACTCTATAAGCGACATAGGGGTGTCTATAGTCGACGTGGTTATAGCTGATGACATGCATGAAGAAACTGAGGGTGTGATACAAGTATCCGTGTTCGTGATCTATTTAAATTAAGGTGGTATCAGCTATTTATTAACCGTAATCATCATATCCACATATATCCTCATCCTCATCCTCGTCCTTCACCCCCCTAACTATTCTGCTTCACCAACTTTTTAAACTCCTTCGACGTCCTACTACTGGATCCATCACCCCTACTCGACTCCCCATCCTTATCCGACCCCCTCTCCTTCTCTTTCTCCTTCTCCTCCTCCTCCTTCTTCTTCTTCATATGCTTTATAGCATCCTGCGTCAACTCCTGTCTGTCCAACAGCTCCCACACGTCCTTCTTTCGCGTCTTGCGGTCGCCGATGCTGATGAGCAGACCGGCTGTGATGTTGCAGGTTATGCTCACACAGAGGATCACGGTGGTCAGCGCGAAGGGGCGTGTGTGGTAGTCTATGCCCCAGGTACATGCGCCGAGGGATATTTGCAGACACGAGTGGCAGTCGAGGAGGATGACGATGGCGATGAGGTATCTTTGGGGGAAGGCGAAGTGGGTGAATGTCTCGTTGGGTTTGTAGAAACTGTGTGACTTGGCCATTTTCTTCTGGTGGTGCTGCAGACTCTTGAACTGAGCGAACGTCAGAGCTGGCATGTCTGAATCGGGGCTGTTGGACTTGGCGCCTTCTAGATCAACAGTCTCAGGACTTTCAGGTTGTGGTTGTGGTTGGTTATCGATCGTGCCGACCGTTCCGTCTCTCTCGGGCTTATAGTCCTGAGCTTCGAGGAGAGCACGAGCCTGATGGCCCGTCAAGTGCGAATGCTCCGGATTCGTAGACACGCCCGGCGGAACACGCTTCTTCTGTAATCTATTCCTCGGTTTCTTTCCCTGCTCAGCTCTCTTGATCAATCGCGAGAAGCGCCAGATGAAGAACATGTGGTATGTATCCACAGCTCGGAAGGGCGCGAGACCATCACCCATGACGGCGAAGAGCGCGACGAGAACGCTGTCGATGACGTGGATCGCGTAGACTTGCTTCTCGCCGACGTAGATCCAGCCGATGAGGAAGAGAACCCAAGCCAGACCGAAGAGCGTGATAAGTGTTGCGTAGAGTGTGACGAGGAAGCCGAGGGGACGTCTGACGTATTGGCCGAAACCTTTCATGCGACGCTTGAAGCGCGCACGGCGAGAGTGCAGCATGTGTCGAACGTGATCATCCAACTCGGCCTTTTCCTCTGGTGTCCAGCCATCGAGGTTCGTTCCATGCGGGAGCGCCGCGTAGTGCGAGTCTGTCAAACGTGATGTTATAGTGTTGCTTCGCTGCGGAAGACGGGGTTGGTCTTCGTCTTCTGCTTCGGCTTCTGCAATCGGTGGTATCATAGCGGTCTCTTGTGCCTCCAGTGCAGCTTCGCGACGTCGTTCTTGTTCAACGGCGCCTCGGGCCCAGTCTGCTTGGGGATCGTGGCGGGATAGAGCGTAGGTCGGTCGACGGTTGACCCATTTTCCGAGATCGGGAACGAAGAGGGAGTTTTGGACGTTTGTGAGTGTTGAGAGTGTTTGGACTTCGGGGTCTGTGATTGTTAGATTTGATGTCGATAGGGTGGATGTGGGTGTGGATGTTCTTACCGATGACATCGAGCCAGTCCACAAGTTCCTGGTCGTACTCATCATCGCGAGGATCGTCATATCGCTGCCCCATAGGCACAGCCATTTGATCCTCGCCAGATTGCCGACGATGCCCAGGCCATAAGAACCGACTCGCCCGTCGCAGGCGACCAAGCCCGCCCCTTCCATTTGTATTCTCCTCAGGAAGCGAAGCCGTCGGCGACAACGGAGTAGCCTGATCATCGTTGTTGATCCCTAGCTCAGCCAGACTCGGTCTTCCTCCCTCCTCTGTAAGTCGCGGCATCGCCACCTGCGGAACCCGCCTGGAATGACGAGCAAGTCCATCCGAGACCCTCGCGCGCTCAGGCTGCGATATGCTCCTCGGTCGCCCATCATCGCTGAAGCCATCGAATTGGCTCGTCACACTATGATTCGAGTAGACCGACCCGTTTGAATTTCGGCGGATGCGGATACTAGGCTGTCTAGCCTGATCGACCGGCGGTCTTCGTCTCGTCTGTTGCTGTGGATAATTCGACGACTCCTGGTACGATGGAAATGCCGAGAGGGATGTTTGCGATGGAAAGCGCGGGAATGATGATAGCGATGTCTGCGATTGTGCTGAGGGCGCTTGGCTCAGCGGGTTGAAGTAATCCGATGCTGTTTCTTCGATGGGCCCTGGACTTCCGGGATCGGGAGGCACGGGACGTGAGGACGAGGGACTTGGGGATCGTCGATTGTTGAAGTGGCCCGTTGGGTTGAGATGGCCCGAGGGCTGAAGGCGGTTATTATTGGAAGCCATGCCCATGAAGATGCATGGCAGAAGAGAAGCCGTGGAAAATAAAATAAATTTAAAAAAGGGAGTCTAGATGAGGTGAGGTGAGAAAAGTAAACTTGGGAGTGATACTGGAATTAGTCAGTCGTCACAGCATGAGCAATTCGGGTTTAGTTTCCAGGCCTTGATTAACCGCTTGTCAGTGAAGATCAGCCACTTAATTCTTCAAAACAAGAAAAGTTTATCCGTATAGCGTCCCCCCCTACGTAAAGGTCGTTAATCAGGTCGTGCCGTGGTGGGTACCCCTACGTCACAAGTCGATGCCGCTATGGCCAGTAATCTCCAGCCCCGATAAAAAGGTTTGGCGCCCAGGGGTTGTTTAGTGCCGGGACATCCGCGATATCCATAATAAGCCTCTCTCTACAGAGTAAAAAAATGCTACTGTATATCCGCGGGAATATAACAAAGCATTATTCATGATGACTGTGAGAATAGTCTGCTGATGCATCAGACATTTACGGAAATAACGTGATATTATGGATATGATAGATGAAGAGCCTTCTGTAGTCACCAGCCAACGCCACTAGATTACCACCCGCAATAATTACATCACAGCTTCTCCAGATAAAGACAAGGACAGCCGTTTCATCTACACTGAACCACAGGCTGAGAACACAGCTTGGCGAATACTTTGGAGGGTAAATCTCTTGGCCTTGTGAACCCTTGTTTTTCCAAATCAGGATTCTGTTAATTTTTAAGCTTATTTTTCCTGTGCAGAGGCCGTGAGTGCAGGCATCTCCATGTTTGATGAACCACCCTACACCTGGATGATATTGGACAACGCATCAACGCAGCGCTATTGTTTGAGGTTTGAGGGAGAGTGAGTAGGTTGTGCTCTAGGCGGTAGGCCATGACGTGAATTTCGATATTTACTTCTGAGTTGTGGGATTGATGCGTGCCAGACATTACTCGCTCCAAGACAAAATGATGATAGGCGACTTGTGTTGTTGTGCTACGTAGCACCATGGAGACTTGCTTTTCTGAGCATCTCGAATCTCGATCGATCAGCAACATGTTCCAGATTTTCGTTTAAACAATTCTCGAAATTTAACTGCAAATCAATTATGCCACAAATTATAATCGTCTTGTTTTCTCATGGGAACAATTGTTAGATCTGCGCGACAAGCGTGTCTGTGTCTGTCCAGATCCAAATCATAGACGCATTCCAGCCGTCTACCCGTAACGAATCATTAACCAATGATAGGGCTTATGGTCTAGGGGTATG